AAAAAAAAAATGATATAATAAATGTAAAAATATTTCCTACTTTAAGGTTAACTAACAATAATCCATTTTCCCATTTTTAATGCTTATATGAAACTTTTATAAATCAATCTTTAGGAATTTAAAAATGGTAATTTTATCTTAAAATATAAGTTCTGAACATATTTAAAGCATTTATTTTCAAATTATTAAGTGAAAAAATTTTTCGGTTTTGTGTCGATGGTTACACAAATTACGAATTGAAGAAATTTAAAGTTTATTGGTGAAAGTTTGACTTTTTTAAGAGCTATTTTTGATACTTTAATAAAATAAAGCAAATGTCAAAGTTTTTTCATTAAAAATTTCAATCTATTCGATTAAAAATTGGTGGATATCCCTATATTGGAAATGCAGATTTAAGGGGTGGTCCGATTGGTACATGGATTACTAATTAAAGCATTTATTGACACGGGAAGATGATCATATCAAATGTTATTTAAATAATGAAATATATGTATTTTCTGTTCCTCTTTCAGAAAATAAAAAAATATTTCACATTTTACTATAGATTACATTCGTGATATCAAAAAAACTGACCACCATTCTTTTCGCCGGGGTCTGTATTCCCAAGATAAGTTGGAATATTGTCTTACCTGCTACACTTCAAGCAATAAACTTAAGTTCGCAATTGTAGCAATGCATTTCATAATATAGAATTATTTTTTTTTGTGTATTTATTTCGCATTTTGTATCAATAAAAATGCTTTTCACATGATATACTTTTTTTTATAAAGCATGCTTCGTCAAATTTCTGTTAGCGTGACTGCTGCGCTTTAAGCCACATGACCTGGGAACAAAAATTTTTCACTTGTACCAAAAATGACAGACTTAACACTATTTTGTCTTGTTCAAGGAAACGCGATTTCTCAAGCTTTTCCCTTAAGCATCAACAGTAATGAAAATATTGGTCAACTCAAGAAAGCTATTAAAACGAAAAAAATTCCTGAATTTAATTTCTTCGATGTAGATAGGCTTAAGATATGGAAGGTTCAAATTCGCGCTGATAATGATAAAGAGTTAAATAAACTTACACTCCATAACAACGATCAACTTCTCGCAGGGAGGAAGATTAGTAGTTATTTCACTGACAAACCACTCGACAAGCACATTCACATCGTTGTCAAGCCACCTAAGCTGATACATTTTAGTCTTGAACTTGTACTTGAGGCGGGACTTTTGAATGAAAGAGAGAGTGTAGAATATCTAAGCGGAGATCGTATTTATAAAGCAACGTTACGCGAGAGTTGTCTTTGTACCGAAGATGGAAAATATTTTTCGTTTATAGAATTTATACGAGTAGCAAGGAGATTAAAATCTGATGAAACACCTGCCCCTTATGATTTTCAAAACCTAAGAATCAACAATATAACTTATCAGGAAGTCCGAGATAAAATCTATAAGTTTGTTCCTTATAAATATGAAGACAGTCTCTTCATCGATCATTTTTCAATTCCTTGGGGTGATGATCTTGAGAATCGCCTCCGCCATCTACATTCGGAGAAAGACGTCGTGGAAATATTTTGGGGTCGAAATCTTAAAGACGACGATACAACTTGGCGTGTCTACGTGGTTTTTCGAGATATTTCTTGCCTACACAAAAGGACTGAGAGTGTCATGGAAGATCAAATGATTCGTTTCATAACAGTAGGGGAAGGGTTTGCTAACACTGAAATTCGACGACGTGCTAATGCCGAAATTCAACAACAAAGTTCCCACCATTCGCTGTCAACCTTGAAAAAGGTCCCAAAAGAATTGCGCAAGGCTTTTGATGAAGCCTTAGATAATGAGCTGGGGCAATCTTTCCGCGAAATGCATTATAACCTGGTTGGCATGAGCACTGGTTATAAGCGAACTCAAGGCAGGCTTACTGAAATCCCCGCTATTATACTATATGTTCGTCAGAAGGGCATTCTACGCCGTGGATGTGACATATTCCCGGATAAGATTTGTGGGTACCCAGTAGATGTTGTTGAGGCTTGTGTTGCAACTCCCTATGGTCATGGTGTTAGTGCTTGTCAAGCTTATCAGAAAGATGTTGGGTTAGGGTCAAGTATAGGAATAACTGAATCTCAGGGAACGTCTGTAACTCTCAGTGCTGTTGTGCGTCAAAAGAGAAGATTGGCATCCTCTCATGTGAGCATGTATGCAGGTTTAGTGAATCGAGTACTGGAATGGGTGTCATAATCCATCAGCCTTCGCATAAAGATCTAGATAATTTGATAAAGTCATTTGTTGATATGGCAAGTGAAGATCCAACATTCGAGAAAATTTCAGCAAATGCAATTAATAATATCAATAATAACAGGCAAAATTCAGCCATAGCACGTTATGTGAGTGGTATGCGAAGTAACTACTTCTCTGAAGTACATCAGAAGAACTTTGGAATTGATGCTGCATTTTGTATTTTCGAAGGCTCCAATCGTACATTAAACCCAAACAGATTTACAATTCCCCAAGAGTACTTTGAAAAGGAAAATCTTCCTGGAAATACTCGTCTAAATGGCTTTTATACATACAAAGAATTTAATAATGTTGATGAAATTGATGTCTTTAAAGTAGGAAGAACTACAGGTCTTACTCTTGGTAAATTGCTTCCTAATTACACCGCTATTTCCATTGATCTTACAAAAAAAAGCATCGAAGCAAATCAAGACGAAGTTCCTGTTCCTCCTCATAATAATAACGATTACGAAAAAATGTTCATCGGATACATGAAGTCACCATTGATCCAAGAAATCAATAAAATGCGTCAGAAATGTTATCCTGCCGTGTGGTTTGATCGACAATTGGCATTTAAATTCAAGCATGGAGACTTTGAACCTGGAGACTCGGGAGCAAGTGTTGTAGACAAAGAAGGAAAAGCTCTTGGTATCCTTCATGCGGCATGGATGACGGAGGATCTTAGATACGCCATTGCCTCTCCTTACTTTGCTGTTTTTGAGGCATTGAATGTAGTAGAATACTAGAATCTATGTAATAAAATAAAACTTGTTCGCCTACATATTGGTTTAAATTTTTTAACTCGTATATGCTTGCGTGTATGTATTGTACACTAAATTAATAAAAAAATGATTTTGTACATTGTTACTTTATTGGCAAAATTTTTACTGTTACGCACGTGGTTTATAAAATAGACCCTGAGTTGTTGTGAGCAATATGTATGATATCAGGAAAATTCTTGCCGAAGAATAGGGGCTGTGCGACGTGCGAATCGCATATATATTCGCATTATTTCGACTCGATTTGCATTTAATTTTGCATGTCATGTCTCCGGCCACACTATTATCATACTAACAAAACAATTTTCGAATATAGATATTTTTAGGCAACTTTCATGTACATGAAAGGATTGGGGACATCTATGCTAATCATAAAGTCATTTTTATCGATTTACAGGGAGATAACATAATGACGAAATGCAGTGCGTAATTGCTGGTGAAAATCCGGGAAATGTTTTCTCCTGGACGTTTACCTAGTGCTATTAAAACGGGTGTGTTGTTGGAAAGCCAGTATATCCAATATGTCGACTTTGAAACCAAGTAGGGCATTGAGGAAAAAAGGCAAAACTTCAGAATCTGTCAACCCGCCCCTTGACAACCATGTAAAACTAGCTTATAATATCTTAAAAAATCTTGAGGACAATATCGTCAGTGAAAAAGAAATTCCAGAACTGAATGTAATAATGGAATTTTAACATGACCTCCAAAGGCAATTACTATCCTCACCTGTGGCCACACTTTCCACAGGATATGCATTGAGAAAAAGCTTCTGCTGATCATGCCAAATATATGTCCATTTTCTGATTGTGGAAAGGATGTTGATATTAAGAACCATTTCCTAATACTAATGAAGAGTCGCCAATTTCAGCTTTATCCAACAGGATGAATGAAAGATTTATCCTATCTTTGCCAATCTTACGGATGGAAGGGGTTGAGAATACAGGATCCCAACCAGTCAAAGGTTATTTAAGATGCGCCAAATATTTCGGAGACCTTTCTTCATGGCCTCCACCCGTAAGCTCTATTTGGTGCTCCTTCAATCTCAAGAGCCTCTGAAACCTCTCGTATATTTGACCTGCAAACATATTGTGCATTATGAGTGCATCATTAATTCACGAAAGCTATTCCCTATATGCCCATCAACTGATATGGAACTGGAAGAAGAAATGGAGATTGATAACGATGATATGGTAACTGACGCCCAGGAGTCAAGTACCACGCAGAAAAAATGCACTAGGAAGTCTACTACTGAAAAGTCCTTCAGCAAGAAAAAGAAGACAACTAATAAGGACGATGTTTCTACTATGCTGAAAAAGCTTATTAAAGAGCTGTTAACTAATATCCCTGATACTGGTAAAATCCTGGAAGAAATGAATGTGTCAGATGCTTCATCAAATACCAGAACGCCAAGCCGAATGAATTTTTTATGTCTCTCTAATATGATAGAGCAAGCTGAGAAAAAAATGAAGATGCAACGCGGAATGTCATCAATTGATATTTTGCCTTTGAATAAGCTTTATATTTGCGATACAAGGAGTTAAAATCCAGCTATGGTAAGGACAGAACAAAGGCTCTCATTGAAGAAGAAGTTAGGAAACAAATTCCTGAAATGAAATTTTCTAATAAAGCTTTGCAAAAGAGGAGGAGGAGGTCTGAGAAAGCTTATAAGCTTTTTGATAGTATTGGCAAATCGAAAATAGAACGAATTAGGTCTTTTCCGCTTCAGGTTTAAGGTAAAAATCATATATAAAATTCTTTGCAGATCCTACTATAAAAGGAAATTTCATGTTACATTATTATGATTTTTTTCCTTTTTAGCTAATTAACCAATAGATAAATCGGATGTCCAATTTTAGGCTAAATTTGGTGATAAAGATGGCCAATTTATTAATTTAGGCAAAGTTCTGATTGGCAGGCCGATCGATGCCGATCAGAATATCAAAATTGTATCTGAATTGCTTAGTATTTTTAATCCGAATTGTTTAAAAAAATATTTTCACAAATTTACCGAATTGCAGTGAATTTTTTCTGAATTATGGTAAATTTGTGACAAAATTTTCTGAATTGTAGTAAAATTTATTCCAAATTGTAGTAAAATTTATTCCGATTTGTAGTAAAATTTATTCCAATTTGTAGTAAAATTTATTCTGATTTGTAGTAAAATTTATTCCGAATTGTAGTAAAAAATTTATTCTGAATTGTAGTAAAATTTATTCTGAATTATAGTAAAATTTATTCTGATTTGTAGTAAAATTTATTTCAATTTGTAGTAAAAAATTTATTCCGATTTGTAGTAAAATTTATTCCAAATTATAGTAAAATTTATTCTGAATTGTATCGCAAATTACAGTAAATTTTATTCTGAAATTTAAAATATTACATATACATATAAAACAATTTCACCAAAAATCATCCCAACTTTTTAACAAATCCGGTATACGTTAAATTCTTTAATTTCTATTTGTTTCTACAAATTGGAGATGATTTTCCTATAAAAAAAAAGAAAAAACGTTAAAATAACGTTTTTTTTAAGTTTCAAGTTTCAAAAATCAAACGTTACCTGTAGGATAGCAAATTGGAGCTGATTTCTCTACAAAAAAATTAATAAAATATAATAAAAAACGTTAAATTAAATGTTTTTATTAAGTTTCGTCAAAAAGTTTCAAAATTTGAAACTTTACCTGTAGGATTCTGGTATCCAAATTGGAGCTGATTTCTCTGCAAAAAAAATAATAACAAATTAAAAAACGTTAAAATAAACATTTTTTTATTAAGTTTCAAAAATATGAAACTTTACCTATAGGATTGGCTAATTCAGAACCAATTTCCTATAAAAAATATAAAAAACGTTAAAATTAAACATTTTTTATGAAAGTTTTGAAGTTAGAAGAAACTTTGAAACTTTACCTATAGGATTGGCCAATTCAGAGCCAATTTCCTATAAAAAAAATATAAAAAACGTTAAATTAACATTTTTTATTAAGTTTTGAAAATACAAAGATTGGCCAAATCGGAGCCCCATACTTTGGTGTTCTGGACCTACAAAATTAAGAACGAACGTTAGTAATATTCGTTCGATAAATTAATAAAATCTTTCAAAGTTTTACCTTCAAAATGCCAATGTTGAACTCATCCGAAACCTGACCGAGAAGATTTTGGCGTCCATGTTGGAGCCGATTTCCTACAAAAAAAAAATAAAAAAATGTTTAAAATAAACATTTTTTATTAAGTTTCGAAAAAAAAACTTTGAAACTTTACTTGTAGGATTGGTATCCCAAATTGGAGCCAATTCCTACAAAAAAAAATATAAAAAACGTCAAAATAACATTTTTTTTTAAATTTCGTAAAGTTAATTCAAAACTTACATGGAAATCTGATATCCAAATCTTGAAACTGATTTCCTACAAAAAAAAATAAAAAAAACGTTTAAAATAAACATTTTTTATTAAGTTTCGAAAAAAAACTTTGAAACTTTACTTGTAGGATTGGTATCAAAATCGGAGCTAATTCCTTACAAAAAAAAAATATAAAAAAATAATAAAAAAATGTTAAAATTAAAACGTTTTTTTATTAAGTTTTGTAAAGTTTTGAAAATTCGAAACTTTACCTACGGGATTCTGGTATCCAATTTGAAGCCGATTTCCTGCAAAAAAATAATAAATTTAATAAAAAAACGTTAATTTAAATGTTTTTTTATTAAGTTTCATAAAGTTTTGAAACTTCGAAACTTTACTTGCAGAATTCTGGTATTCAATTTGGAGCTGATTTCCTGCAAAAAAAAACAATAAAAATAATAAAAAAATGTTAATTTAAACGTTTTTTTATTAAGTTTTGTAAAGTTCTGAAAATTCAAAACTTTACGGTATCCCTACAATAATGTTAAAAAAAACGTTTTAAAAAACGTTTTTTTCAAAGAAGTTTCGAAAATGTTTCAAAACTTATCTGGAATATCGGTGTCCACGTTGGAGCTGATTTCCTATACAAAAATAAAAAAAGAAAAACGTTTTTAATATTAAAAAACGTTTTTTAAAGTTTTGAAACATATGTTTTGAAACTTACCTTTGGAATTCGGTATTCAAGTAGGAGCCGATTTCCTATATAAAAGTATAAAAAAAAAATGGTAGAAACGTTTTTTTTTATAAAGTTTTGAATTTTTTTTTTGAAACTTATCTGGAACATCAGTATCCACGCCAGAACTGATTTCCTTACAATAATATTAAAAAAACGTTTTTTACGTTAGAAAACGTTTTTTATAAAGTTTTGAAGAAATTCTTCAAAACTTACCTTTGGAGTTCAGTATCCAAGTAGGAGCCGATTTCCTACATAAAAGTATAAAAAAATGGCAGAAACGTTTTTTTTATAAAGTTTCAATTTTTTTTTTCGAAACTTATCTGGAATATCAGTATCCACGCCAGAACTGATTTCCCTACATATAAAATATAAAAAAAATGTTTTTTAAAGTAGTTTTGAAAATCTTTCAACTTATCTGGAATATCAACGTCCACGTTGGAGCTAATTTCCTACACAAAAAATATAAAAAAAAAAATGTTAGAAAACATTTTTTAAAGTAATAGTTTTGCAAAAAAAAAATTAATAAAATCAGAACGTTAACTAACGTTCTGATTGAAAATATTAAATGAAAAGTTAAAAATGTTTCGTAAAAAATAAAATGTTAAAAATCGGAATATTATTTCTAAAAAAAAATTCTGAAATGTTTAAAACTGTTTTATTTAGAAATGAAGTTAGATAAAGATAAAGTTTCGAAACTTTAGTTTAAATAAAGTCTAAATTCGGTAATAGATCAACTAATTGATAAGCTATTAAATTTACTGTGGCTGCGGCTTAGTACATCATAAGTTGATTTTAAAAAATCGTTTATTCAATTATTTACATTAGGGCGGGCAGTGACATATATTAGCTAATATTATTTTAATAGTAACGTTTACTCTCCACCCCCAGGTAAGATTTTATGACCAATCCAATCATTTCACATAGTTTATATTATGTGTAACCTAAGATATTCTTTTACTCCCCACACCCTAAAATATTAGCTAATATATGTCATTGCCCTTATTGATATTCTACCAATTTTTATAAATCAACTATAAATCATATATATCAAAATTTGAATAACTTCTGAAATTGAGCCAAAAATCTTTCGAACTTTTGCCAATTTATTACATGACCGAAAGTTTTGATTTCGATCAATGCAATTTAATATAAAAGTGCTATAAATCAGACAATATTAGGCAAATTTTAAGCTGATTTGCCATTTGTCCAATTTTTTTTTGATTTCAATCAAAATTATGATAATTTTTTGCTAAATTTTTATTGAATTTTTATTGAATTGTCAATTTTCCATAAATCTGAAGTACATATTTGAATATTGGGCAAATTTTAGGTTGATTTGCCATTTTTTTTTAATTTCAACCAGTATCAATCAGATGTCAATCAAATGTAATGATTTTTTACTGAATTTTTATTGAATTTTTATTGAATTGTCAATTTTCCATAAATCTGAAGTACATATTTGAATATTGGGCAAATTTTAGGTTGATTTGCCATTTGTCCATTTTTTTTGATTTCAACTAGCATCAATCAGCCGTAAGGTTGCTTGTCTAAACCTCTTCAAAATCCTACGATTAGTTTCATCAAAATTTTACTATAGATTTATTATAGTTTCGGCAGAGTTTCAGCAGTTTCAGCATTTATAATAAGTTTCAGCAGTTTCACCTTTCTCCAAAGTTTCGCCAGTTTTATAATATAACTTTAATATAGTTTCGGCAGAATTTCGCTTTTTGGCAAAACGCCATCTTGCCTAAACCTCTAGGTTTTAGCAAGCAACCTTAATCAGTTGTTAATTAAATATGATGATTTTTTGCTGGATTTTTATTAAATTGTCCGATTGGCATCAATCAGATGTGCCGATTTGTAATGTCAGTTATACATGCCACCCAAATTATTTTGGGCTGCCATAATTATAAGTAAAATCCCAAATTCAATTATGGCATCCCAAATTATTTTGGCACTTTACATAGTAAATTATATATAAACTGAATGAATTACAGCATCCTAAATTATAATTATGACATCTCAAAATAATTTGGGCAGCATGTATAATGTCAGTCGATTTTGATCTGATTTTTGGCTGATTTTCCATATATCCGATTTTTTTGATTTTGACCAGTGTTTAAGAAAAAAGTAAGGTAAAACTATTAGTAAAGGGCCAATTTTCTATGGTGACCTTTATTATAAGTAAGCGGGTCCTAGTAATATTTTCTATGTATCCCTATAAATTTTTATAAAATAATAACATTATAATTTTATTATTCAATATTTTAATTTACATTTTCATTTGATATATACAATAAATATTCTTAACGCTATTGCTATATTATTCTTAAATACCAATTATCTTTTAAAAATTAACCTTTTACCTTTTACATACTATATAACCACGCCTTTTTTTAATTATATAAAATTATCTTTCATTCTTAGATCTGATAATTAAAAAAACATATCCAATAAGATTTAAATTATGTGCACAACATGGCACATGAATTAACTGAGGCATTAATGGTAATAAGACATCGTGATAGCATTTTTTTCATGTAAGCTGCTGAATCTGAAAGAAATAAATGTGGTAGATTAAAAGATATATTAAAGTGAGTAAAAATAGTTGTAAGAAGTTGTCCCATTGTAGTATTATTAACACGCTCAGGAAAATCAACTGAAACTAATTTTGTTTCATTGTGATAGCAAAAAAGTGTGTTGATAACACTTTGCGCACAATCATCTGTGATTTCATCTATAATTATAGCCACTGGTTTTGAATCAAAAAACAACTTAAGACATTGATAATGCTTGTCAAATACATTTGGTAAGTAAACTTTGAAGCTTGAGGGATAGAATCACTATTTTTAATATATTTTTTAAAAAATGGAAGTAAAGAATTAACTTTTTCAAGTGGAATGTCTGCTATTGCAAATGCTTCTATTAAGTCTTCAATAAGTTGTTTTTTTGAGTTGGAAGTTATTTGAGTAGAATTAAGAGTAAGTTGTTGGGTTTTATTCTGATTTTCCTCATATTTTTTTACGTTTAACGTATGTTTTTGACTACTACAATGACTGTCTACAACAGATTTATATTTCCATTCCACGGAAATATTACAATAATTACAAAAAAGAATATTATCATCAACATGAAAAGTATCTTTATATTCCTTGCTTCTAGTATAGATTGATATAGATTTTCTTTTTTTGACATCGTAAAAAGAGATGATCAGAAAAAATTGATAATCAACAGCTAAAATGATAAATTAAATTTATTTTACTGTGGATTATGTGTTTTAATATAGAAAGATCTGAATTATGTGATTTTATGTTGTGATAAACATGAATTATGTATTATTACATAAATTATGTGTTTAATGTAAAATTATACAATCAAATAAAATCATTGTTCCTGGGCCAGGTTAACCAGGTAATCCAATTTGACCCGACCTGTGCGGAGCTCTAATCAAATTAATATTTATATATCAACTATTAAGAAAAAGACTGATAAAAGAGTCAAATTTAGTAGTATAATGTCTGTGATGAAAACTAATGTCCAAATTGCTGTAGTAGAAAAGGACTTCACCTACTATTAAGATAGGTCACCCTGTGGCCTAAAATAAGGTTTACATATAAAACTCTTTGAAGATCCTACTATAAAAGGAAATTTTATGTTATATTATTATGATTTTTTTCTTTTTAGTCAATTAACCAATAGAATTTAAGCAAATTCTAAAGTAAAGTTTCATATGAAAGTGAAATTTCTACTGATAATATATCTTAGTAGTAGGTGGAATCCTAGTAGAAAGCACAACAGGAGAACTGACTGAACTTCTCAAGAGATTTATAATGAAGTATCAACATGATATAAGACTAAATATCAATGAAGTTAAGGTGGTCTTTTCTTAAATATGATGTTACAAAGAATAGCTGCCAATAACAACCATTAATAAAACTGCTAGTTATTGTGAATAATAATAATATTTTAGAGATATCAAACCCTGAATAGAATCCTGCCTACTATTAAGATAGGTCATCCTGTGGCCTAAAATAAGATTTACATATAAAATTCTTTGAAGATTCTATTATAAAAGGAAATTTTCTGTTACATTGTTATGATTTTTTTCCTTTTTAGTTAATTAACCAATAGAATTTAAGCAAATCCTAAGGTAAGGTTTCATATGAAAGTGAAATTTCTACCGGTAACATATCTTAGTAGTAGGTAAGGTCCTTTCTGAATACTACAAGCTAAAAGATCATTCTCCAAAACATTATAAAGTGCTAATGGAAACAACTAGCAGTCAAAACATATTTTTGTTCTCTAAGACGTGTAGTTATTGTTTAAAAAAAGGTCATAATATTAGAAGCTGTACAAAAAATAAAGCTTCTATTGTTTAGAAAGGTGATATAATAATAGAAGATATGTGAAAATAAATTTCTAGAAAGTTTGGATTTTTCAGTACAGTTAGATAAAACACATCTGAGCTTCAAAGATAATTTGATTGATATATGCTATGTGTATTATATAACATTTAATTGGTTTAATGTTTTAATAATATAGAGTAATTGGCAGATTGCCGATGCATAGAAAATATATATTAATTGCAAATTATTAGTTAGGTTTGTTAGGTTTAAAAGGTTAAGGCTTAGAATTTTAAATGTTTAACAGCCTTTTATTATTATATAAATAAATAAAAATTGATTTTACGCCTTTGCAGTAAATTCATTCACTACTAAGGTTGCTTGCCGAAACTTAAAGGTTTAGGCAAGATGGCGTTTCGCCAAAAAGCGAAATTCTGCCGAAACTATATTAAAGTTATATTAAAAAACTGGCAAAACTTTAGAGAAAGGCGAAACTGCCGAAACTTATTATAAATGCCGAAACTGCTGAAACTCTGCCAAAACTATAATAAATCTATAGTAAAATTTTGACGAAACTAATTGTAGAATTTTGAAGAGGTTTAGACAAGCAACCTTATTCACTACGTAATAAATTATTATCATATAACACTAATGATGATCATTACCAGCAATAAATAGCAAACTCCTATTTAATAAATCTGATAAATTTAATATATTTAATTTATTTAATTTATTTATTTTATCAAATATTCTTATTATTTAACTTTATTATAAATAATATTAGAATTTTATTTAGTTAACAGAAAGAATTTAAAATAATTAAAAATTGTATTGTAGTATTCAGGATTTCAGGTTATATGAAAAGAGTATTATTCTTATTAATAGTATAATTTAAAATAGTTAATTTTACAAACAAGAAATTATCTATATTTTTTGTCATATCTAAAGTCTTATATTATTTTAATAAAAACCTATTTTCTTTAACTGAGTATTTAACATCATTTTATATGATTATTTGTAATTAACTTAAGATTCACTGTTAAAGTTTTTCAGTCATTATTAACAGGATAACAATATAAAAGTCCATTAAATCAGATATATAAAAAAGCTATTTTTTAGTTTTTTTAGTAACTTCTGTAATAAAATATTCTTTAGCTACTTTAACTAATAATATGTTTCAGTTGTTTATATGTAAAATTCTTTAGAAAAAATGTTATTTTCAATTTTACGTTGTCTTTTCTTATATATTTTATTAAAAGACTTCTATTTTTTGTGTGAAATTCAGGTAATAGGATCTATAGAAAAGATTATTTTTAACAATATATATAATACTATATTTATATAATTAATATAATTAATAAATTATTTTACTATATTGTAATAAATTATTTAATAAATGGGCGTTTTGCAGTAAAAAGGGATGAAATTACTAAAAAAATTCAAATTTTCTTTTATATGCCAAAAATTTTCTAAATGCTATAATTTGTTCAGATTTTATATTAACTCATTTTTTATTTTTTTTTTAGTAGTTTCATTTCTTTCTAGCTACTGTAAAGCGCCCAAATGATAAAATTAAAAATATTATTTGTTTATAAAACTTTTTTAATGAATTAAAAGTCTTTGCATTTATTTTAAATCTGTTATATAAAGCTATATTAATGTTAAAAAAGAGAATGGCTAATTTAAATGTAAAATATCTAGGATTTTATAGTGTAATATATAGTATAATTTAGACAAAAAGTGTAATTTGAAATAATTTTAATACCAGTTAAAATTGTATAATTTTGGTTAAAATTAATATTTATTATGCATAAGTTTTTTATTTGTTGTAAAAATAATATCATTAGCTAATAATTTACAATAGACTTTATAATTAACTTTTATATTATTAAATTAGCAACATAATATTATATATTATTTTAATTTTTTGATGTATTGGTATTAACCATCTTTGTAAAAGAATAAAAAAAGAAAATAGTAATTTTATTAATTTACTGCAAAATGGTGTGAAAAAATAACAAAAAGTGTAGAAAAAATGACTATGTCATCCTGGATACCTTATCTGAATTATTGTTATTTATATTTATTTCTTTTACAATAAAAAAACTACTATACCAATTTAATTTATTATAATACAACTTTTAAAAACTATAAAACAGTTTTTTTACTATTAAATACAATAAAATATTTCTTAATAATTTATGATAATGGAAGAAAATTAAGTTACTACTTTTTTGAGTAATTTCATCCCTTTTATTCTAGTAATTATTTCAGATATTTTCAGTATCAATTTCACTTTTTTGTATATATTCATTTAATGCATTAATACGGGCCATAATGCCTATTTCGGACCTAACTGATTTAGAAAGTATGCGCGAAATTTTTTTTTTTATAATAGTATCAAATTTGATCATCGGTTTAATTAACAAAAAAATTCGGGTCAAGAAAAATTGTGGTTTTAGGTTTGTATTGTTAACGATGACAACGTTGAAACCATTGTTTGACCTTCCTTTATTCCTAAAAGAGAAAAAATTATAAAAAAAATATATATTATCAAGTTCTTATACGGAAAGATAAACATCAATGGTTGAGATAATCAGTGCAGTACATGGATAAAAAGAAGTTTTAATCCCAATTTCCTTTTGTTTCATATATTTAATTGATAATCTTGCTCAATGTTACGTTGAATTTGAAACTCGTTTTAATAACCAGCCAAAAAGCAACAATGCATACTTTATGAAAGGAAAAAAGGCGAAATTTTGAGTATATAGAAACTAATTTGGTAAATATAAATCAGTTACCCACTTAATAGTTTGTACAATTAGTTGCATTTACAATTAGTTGTATTATAAAAGGCAATTATTCACTGCACGAATCATGAAAGCCCAATTTATAAATAAAATATATTAATAATAAGTATACAAAATTGGGCAAAAATCATTAACCTTTTGAATCAACTCCTTTTTTTTTTATAAATTTATATTAACATATAAAAACAAAAAAAAAATAAATAAAAATTATAGTCCATATTTATTAATATTCATTCTCTTCAGAAAAAAAATAAGAATAAGCAAGAACTAAAAAACAAAAATAACCATAACAATATTAGAAATTTGTATAAAAAATTATATATAATCATTAAAGCATATATTACTTGTAAAATAAACCAGAAATCCCCCTGAAACGCTCATTAACATTGCAGCAAATTCTATCTATAAAAAAAAAGAAAAAAAAAATATACGTTACAAAAAGTTATAATAATCATTGCAAACAAAACGAATTAAAACTTACCACTTCAATGTGAGCCAAGATAATTGGTAAAGCTGAAATTTCACAATTGACCAATTAATAAATAAAATATTGTTTACTGAAATAAATTCATAATACTTACCAATTCCAGAAACAACTAGAATAGATGTCAAAAACTTGCCAAAATCTTTAGGTCCATTGCTAATAATAAATAAAAAAAAGTTAGTCAAAAATGCAAACTTAAAATATTTAAGGAAAAGTTTTAAATTATCAACTTTGATTGTTCATTAAAGTAATATAAATCATCGCCGCTAGCACATTTCGAGAAAATGAAATTCGGTAGCGGAGCTAAAACAAAAGTTGCAACTAATAAAACAAAAAATGCAAGGATAAGCATAAAAAATGACCAGCAATTAGTTATAATAAACACGAATGTCGGCAGATCTAAATATTTACATCATATTTTAACGTACCAACGAACAATGGCCACCAATTCCTAAATAAATCGTTTAATCAGTTCAAACCGTTAAAAAAAAATAAACCAGGAAAAAAACGAGCACTAAAAAAAACCATACTGATATAATGCTCCCGACAAAATGACAAGTAAAAATCCCCAAGCTAGAATGAAAGATAAGCCAATAATCCTAGAAAATGTTTTAAAGAACCAATGTTGAGAAATGAAAATAGAGCAGAATTTCGCCGTTTACTTCGGCCATTAGAACTTGATGTATGGCTATTTATTTATTTATTAGACTATTTATTAGACGACTAAAAAGAATTTCTTAAAAATTTCTTCCTTGCTTACGCTAAACAAAAAAAAGTAAATATTTATTAAAAATTATTAAAAAGTTATTAAAAACCAAAGGAGATAAAGTGAAACACTTTTTACTTTTTAAACCTGCCATTTCTATTTTAAATACTAATTATTTATTTATTGTTTCTAGTTATGTCTATTTTTATACCCAAGTCAGAGACTAAATTCAGAGATGTATTTATGTTTGCCATTTACGCATAATGAAATACTGCGGTGTTATATAAGATTCTATCGGTTAAAAGTATTAGCTTATGCCGCCAAATTTTATGATTTACAGATTAATTAACCAAAATTTTAATAATAGTAGCTATGGTGAACAGTCAAGGAACTTCATGCATGTTGACTCTATTTCAATATAAAAGGAAATGAGTGACATGCGGCCGCTGCAAGTGTCCTATTTTGACTTCCTCTCTTTGACGACAAACAAAAAAATTTATAGAACCTTTTTTACTCTCTTTTGCGCCCCACCCTTTCATAACTTGCATATAATATAACTTAAAACATTTACACCCTTTTAACTTTTTTCATTCTTTGTATGCTGTAATTTTATCTCTTCATGCCTTCGGAAAAGAAAAAACGCGTTTTACCACCACCTGCAGGTTTAGATTTTGCTACTTCACCAAAAGATAGTTTGGTTGACGATTTAAGATACGCGCTTGAACATGCAAAAGAGTTATATTCTGACATAGCATGGGATTTTACTTTAGCGCCTAGCCCGACTATCATCTATGCACACAAAGGTACTATTTTATTTCCACTTTTATTTACTACGCCACCGTTCGGACGATTGGCTTGTGTGGTGGTAGTGACCCCGAACTTTAAATTATTTATAATAAATTTTAAATTTGGAATTGAAATAATTTTTTATAACTATTTTTTATTTTTATTTTTATTTTTATTTTTATTTTTCTTTTTTTTGCAATTTAACTTATTTCAATTCTTTTTTTTGATTGTAAAAAAAAAAAATAATCAGCTATCTTGTATGCTCGAAGTTCACGCAGTTTTCAAGAACGTTTCTTAAAAAACAAAGATGCAAATGGAATGTCTATACGGTCTGTTCGATTATCAAACCCAGAACCAACAATTGCAAAGACTGATGCGGAACCATTCCTTTTTCGTCAGGAATTAAAATTTTTTTATACCGGTGAAGAAGGAAGTGAAGAATTTTTATCTGCTGTTGATACCACAGATGAGCTTGAGCAGGACAAATTAAAAGAAGACTTAATATATATGTTTAAGTCTAAATTGTACACGGATGTTGAATTAGTCTTAGATTACTCTGAAGATAGTCCTGAAATTGTAGATGAAGAAGATTTTAAACCTATAAAAATTAAAGCTCACAGATTTATATTATATACAAGATCTGAATACTTTAAGAAGATGTTAAGTTCCGATTTTATTGAAGCTCGATCATCAAGTATTCATCTTGATGCTTCTATTTTTAATCAAACATCACTCAATATAATCTTGACATTCATTTACACTGGTAATATTCCACCTTCAAAACCTCTGACTTTGGACGATTATGAATGGGTTTGGATTGGTGCTGATTTTCTTGGTATAAAATTTCTTTGTGATGAATGCATATGTAGAATTGCAACGAAGGTTCATCATTTCACTTGTACTTGTGCTGAATGCCAATCAGTAATACCAAGAGTTGCTATTTTTGCAAAGGAACATGATGTTGATATGCTGTGGCAAGGATGTTTGCATGTATTATCGCATGGATTTGATAGTATGTGGCCTCAAAAAGCATTTGCAGATCTTGATGAAGATACACGAGAGGAGGTTCTTTTCACAGTTCTTGCTAATATACAACAAAATAATAGTGTTATGGCTGCCTTCAAAGGTTGTCGAAAGATTTTGTCAAATATTGATATTAAAGGCATAGGATTGCCTTGGATAGAAACAATACGTGGAATGACACATAGAGTTCAATCTTTTACTGTCAAAAATATTTTGGTAGATAATTTTGAACAAATTTGTAGTGAAGACCAAGAATTTTTAGATTGTGTGGATGGTGTTGGTTTTAGTTCAGATTTATTAGAGGACATTATGAATGTAGTAGTTGAAGAGGGTTTAACCGAAAAAAATGCCGCACGGGTGTTAAATTGCATTACCGGGAAATTATTGACTAGACAGGCAGTAGTGGATTCGGAAAGTTTTGAGACAAAACGAGTTTTAAATCAAGCAAAACAAAACGTATTTGACTATATGAAAAAGCGATGGATGAGTGTGAAAGGAAATGGTGGTTTTAGGTTGTTAACCCCGTGGCAATTGGATGAATTCTCAAAAGGTAATGAACGATTGTTCAAGATTTTTTTTTTTTTTTTTATTCATTCACAATAACCAAATATCAAAATAATACTTTCTATAGAACTTGGTGTTACAAATCAAGAATTACAAGAATCTACAGATCATAAAGAGAATAAACCTAAGGTTAGAACGCCAAGTGTAACAAATGGTCTTTCCAAAAAAGGAAGAGAATCATCGCCCGCCCCTAAAGTGACTAAATCTATAACAACTGTAACCACAACGACACCGGCATTAATTGTAACAACACCGCCTCAGTTGAATCCGTCACCATCAACAGGAGATACAGATTCCAATTCAGGCTCTAATACAAGCGAAAGCGGCTCAACGTCAAATTCTTCAGCTGAATCATCATCTATGGGCAGTGCCGATACAACTGCAAAAACAAATGCTAAGAAAGGTAAAAGCGTGCGCATTGGCGAGACTACGACCGCCCCTGTATGGGCTCGTCCAACTCGTGCTAGTGTGTTACGCCAAAAGGCTCTTGCAGAATCATCCGCAAAGAATCCAGTAAAGCCACGAATAAAAACTAATACTACTACAAAATCAGCTTCTAATTCATCATCTAATTCCACGCAATCTAAACCAACAACATCGGTATCTAAAACAGTAAAAACGACGACGACACGTACACCACGACAGTCTACTTCTGCATCTAGTCTTAGGGTACCTAATGGCTCTCCGACTTCACAAAGGGGTCGTTCTTCTAATAAGCAAAATTCTTCCAAGAAAAATACTTCTGCTACATCATCTCGTGCGAGTTCAATATCATCCGTGACCTCTCTAAATTCACCTTCTGTCTCGCCATCTCGATTTGGTGGTGTGAGACAAACACGCTCTAGTATGTTACGTCAGCTTAAATATGATGACGCAGAACAACGTCGTGGTCGTGACCGTGAGCGTGATACATCACCAACATCATCTCGAGCTAGTTCTATTGCTTCTACTTCATCTGTTGCCAGTACTACTACCAGCTCCTCCCATCATAGGAGAAAACGTTCCCCATCACAAAACTCATCAAATACTTCAATTACTACCAATTCAAACGGTGCTATTACTTGTTTACAGCCAAAACCCCATCAGATAAAATTAGCAACTATTGCTAATCCAGATATTTCCGTAGGAAGACGTGTAATACTTCCAACAAAAAATAATGCTCCCGGAGTTATACAGTTTCTGGGTGAAACAGAATTTGCTAAAGGTATCTGGGTTGGAATAGAATTAGATAATCCTGGTAAGAAAGTGAATTTTTTTTTTTGGAATTATTTTAGGATAGATTAATAAATTATTTTACTAATATTTAAAAAAAATCTCTTTTTCTAGTGGGTAAAAATAATGGTAAAGTAGCGAGTACTAAATATTTTACGGCTGGCCCTAACCACGGAATTTTTGTTAGACCAGATTCACTTTTGCTAATATAAAATAATAATTTAACTGTAAATTAAAACTTATAATTATCAAGAACATTTTTTTATTTCAATTATTTTAAATGCATACACTCCTTTGATATTATGCGCATTCATATACTTCCCTTTGTTATTTTTTTTCTATTTGTTAAAAATTTAAATATTATATAATTTTTCAAACTTATATTTTATATTTCTTATATTTCTTTAGAACCATTTTTTACTATATTTTTGGTAGTTATTTTTCTTTTTGGTTTATTAATTTATCTTATCAATTGCTAATTTTTTTCTTCTTTTTGTATTATACAAAACTATTTTTCAAAATTATCAAATATTTTTATTTTCTATTCTAAAAAAAGGTGATTGATTGATTGAGATGAGAATGAGGGTAAAAAAATGGGAAAGGAAAAAAGATATCGTTTTAATAATTATTAATTTCCAATTAACTTTTTTTTTTTTCAAAAAAAAAAAAGAATAAATCAGTTTTTTTTTAACTTTTTTTTCTTAAATGACTTACATGACATATTACCATGTAAATTATACTTTGAATAAATAATTATCTGAATTTTTTTGAATCAATTAATGTTTACAAAATTAAAAAATAGAAAAAGTACTACGAACTTAGTTATAAATTCACATTATTTCAGTTCATTGTCACTATTTTTCTCATGCAACTCCAGCATCAAGACCAGGAGCTGCCGAAGAGAATTTTGATAAGTCTTTATCTGTATTCTTTGCAGAAAAAGATTTCATACGAGACTCCAACTCTGGCCTAAAATGCCGGATTAACCCTTGAACTGGCCATGCAGCAGCGTCACCAAGAGCTGATGAAACGTGTTAATTAATAACCTATTTAATATCAAACACAGTTAATTTATAAACATACCACAAATAGTATGTCCTTCAATTTGTTTGGTTAACTCTTCAATCATATCAATCTCTCTAGGAACGGCACTTCCTTTTTCGAAACGTGACATCGTATTCGCAAGCCATTTACATCCTTCTCTACATGGTGTGCATTGACCACAACTTTCGTGTTTATAGAAGGCAGATAATCGAGATATTGCGGATACAATATCAGTAGACTTATCCATAACAATGACAGCAGCGGTACCTAAACCGGATTGAACATCACGCAAAGCATCAAAGTCCATCCTAATGGAAAAAAATTTCACATAATTAAACATAATATTATAATAGGTAATAAATTTATAACATTAACTTACAAAACGTCATCACAAATGCGTTTTGGAATTACTGGAACAGATGAACCTCCAGGTATAATAGCAAGAAGATTATCCCAACCGCCACGTACTCCACCACAGTGGCGTTCTATAAGCTCTTTAAGTGGGATACTCATTTCCTCTAATATGTTAAATAATACGGAATTAGCAATTGCAAAATAATATTTAATGAAAAAATTTTATATAATTACCCTCAACGGTACAGGGATTGTTTACGTGACCAGATATACAGTAGAGTTTTGTACCGCTATTTTTTTCACGACCAAAGCTAGCGAACCACTCACCTTTTCTAATTAAACGAATGTATTTGTCAATAATTTTCATATACCTATTTTGCATCATATTATTACTTAATATTACCGTCTACAGATAGTAGGTGCTACAGCTATAGTTTCCACATTAGCTACTGTAGTTGGACAACCAAATAAACCTACATCGGCCGGGAATGGTGGCTTTAATCTGGGTTTTCCTTGTTTTCCTTCAAGGGATTCAATCAAGGCAGTTTCTTCCCCACAAATGTAAGCACCAGCTCCACGATGAATAAATACATCAAAATCATATCCGGATCCACAAGCGTTCTTGCCAATAAGGCCGTCTATATTATGTATAAGTACGATAAGTATAATAAATTAAAAATAAATGTGTAATAAATTAAACTAACCTTTGTATGCCTCATTTATTGCAATTTGTAAATTAGTAGCTTCATTATAGAATTCACCTCTAATATATATATATGCTATTAAAAAAATGGAAAATAAATGTAAATTTTTGAAAATTGGTTAAAAAAAATCACTCGTTAAATATTCATACCTGCTGTAGCATTCATTGCTCTACCAGCAACCAAACAACCTTCAACCAATTTATGAGGATCACCCCGCATAATCTCACGATCCTTGCATGTACCTGGTTCACCTTCATCAGCATTAACAACCAAATATCTTGGTCTATAGATAATAATTATTAAATTATTAATAAAACAATTTTTTTTTTTTAATTGTAAAAAAACTTTCATCTTACCTGTCACCCGAAGGTTTATTCATAAAACTCCATTTTAAACCAGATGGAAAACCGGCACCACCGCGACCCCTTAAGCCTGAAGCTTTAATTTCTTGTATAATCCATTCATGACCCTTTAAAAGTATCTCTTTAGTTTTATGCCAGTCGCCACGTTTTTTTGCACCTTCTAATCCAAAATCATGACGTGAATATAAATTTGTGAAAATACGATCTTGATCTTTTAGACCTCCATAAGTACGACTCACAGGAGTCTCACTTTGAACTGTGGCAAATTTTGAAATACCCTTAAAATTCGCACTTCGAACGAAGGTAGTTCGAAGGCAAGCTGTTTGAAGTACAAGAAAAGGTTATATTTAATACACGCTTCGTAAAAATATTTCCGAAGCATAATACACCTCGAAATTCAACTAAAAAAGTAATAATATCTTACTTTTATATAAAAGACTATTTTTTAGCATTTTTTGATGGTTATTTGAAAAGGATCTAAGATTTTATCTTGATCGTTATAATCTAAATATTTTGTTGTGTAACGATAACGTGATACGCATTATTTTATACAACGCAATAGCGAATTCTCGGACTTCTCGTATACTAGAGTCTATCTGATAACGGTATTATTAAAAGCTATTGCAAAGCAACTTCATTCTAGAGGTCCTTAGCTCACAGTTACCAGTTGAATTTGAACTATACTTGCACACAAGGAAGTCTGAAATTTGGTTTACACTCCAAATTTTTTATCTTCAAAATGGCACTTCTTGCAAATTCTATTTGATAATATAAAGTATATAAGAGAGCAAATTACGTTTACGAAATCTAATGATCCGAATCCTTTCAAAAACGGTTGGACCTTTGCCAAAATTAGGGTTGGAAGAGTAAAGTAATTAGTGTAATAGGTATCAAAATAGAACTTTGATATTTTAAAAAGCCATTTCAGCAACAAAGTGCTCCTAATCTAGATTGGGAATTTATGGTATTATAGATTAGCAAATGATTATTTAGAGCAAATTATGCAAATTATTAATTACAAAAGAAAAAACTCATATTGAGATAGAAGAAGAATTCAACTTAAATAATGATAGCGATAATAAAACTAACCAAATAAATTTATAACTTCCCCTCTCTCACCTCTAAATTATTTATTATAATATTAAAACACTGGACAATTTCAAATTAAATTGACTAAATTAGGTGCTGTTAAGAAATTAGAGTTAAAATGCGACATATAGATTAGGATGGCCAAGTGAAACTCTTGATTAACGCGACAGAGCAAAGCCGTGTAAACTCAAAACACTTTAAAAGCGGGTTTGTTTAATATGTTTTTATTATATAATTCATTATCTTTTTTGATAAAGTAGCTTACACCAGATTTTTCTTACATATATTTATAGTAAAATACCACCTTTTCTATTATTTATATGTACCCAAGTACTAGATGAATATAATCTAGCTAGCCCAATCTGGATTCCTGTTAATTAATATGAAAAATAATAATGCCATTGCTGATCCAACAATCCAAGAACTCGGTCTATAGTCTAATATTGATGACGACATCAAACTTGCTAAACAGATATGTTCTATAGCAATAAGGTGCAGGGATAGAGAATGACCGGGTCATTTGGCAATTTTGAAATGACCTCTAAATGACAAATAATTTCTTCAAATAACTATGTCATTTGTCACTTTTTTGGGGGTGAATCAGGATAATATTTTTTTTGTTGCGAGACTTTATGATCGTTGGGAATTTCTATCGAATTTATCTGCGAAAGAATCATCGAATTCTAACAAGCCACTTCATTTATTATATTGTGGAATTTGATGTTATTTCGAGTCAAACCCAATAACGAAAAAAGGATTCAAAGTGAAATATTGAGTATCGACCTTCAAGGATCCTAAGGAGTTTACTTCGTCATGTACAAATACTAGCCTTTAACAATTTCAACCAACAAACATTTATTTTTCTCTAAGAACTTTAATCAACTATCAATTCTTCGGCTACAAATGTACTTTGCAACCAAACTTCATCAGATATAATATCCCAGAGGGGAAATAAACAGAGATTACCACGGGCAAACATAGAAGACATGGTGATGAAAATAAGAAGCCCTATCATGATTAAATTTCAGTGGACAGAATTTTATAGCATATGTATTTTATTATGATTTGAAGAAACATTCATCTAGAAGCAATGCCTAATTCTGAGAGAGATTGTAATTACTAGTAAAAGCTTTCTCAGAATCATAAGTATACCAGCCTTAAAGACGCAATTCAGCGAATAGATGTCCCCTATTCCTGTCTTTTGAAACAACCTTTTCAGGCAGTTTTAAACATTAGTAAAATCGATCTTTCTTAAGTAAGCATCAATTATTCAAGTATTGCTGTTATTATTTTGTTACCGGAATAAATCTATCTAAAGATTAGTTAGAATTTCAATTAGTAAAAAAAATCAAATAGGTTGATTTTTAATAGATTTACTATTCTAAACTTCGCATGACAGACGTGAAAGACAAAATTTCAAAATATTGTTTGTGAATTTGACTTAACAAATTATAAGTGAAATAAAGCTAAGGAGTAATGTGAGTAAAGCATTTGGTACTCTTTATCAAAATGCAATGATATTTTATAAATTACTAATTGACAATATATAATTCTAATAAAGTCACTTTCATTTCAGATTTACTATTTAGCATTTTAATAAAATTTATTAGTTTTAGTAATTTTTCGTATTTATTATTTTTACATATGAATTTACTTTATTAGCTGGTATGTTTAAACCATATTTTAACGTCTACCTAACTTTTAGTTTATTTGAATTAATTCCACCAATGGTTCCGACCAACACCATTCCCGCAGCCAACAACCAAACCCAAAGATGATCAAATTGGCTTTTAGTCCAATCGGCTTGAGTTCCTCCAAGGGCTGTTAGCCAAACTAAAAACAAAACTAAATAACCAGAAGTCCTATGATACTTATACATACCTCTTGCTTTTGCAGCACCCCCAACTACTCCAGGAAAATTCACCAAGGTTGATCCAGCAATTGTTTGAATAAGAATAAGTAAAAATGTAATCAATCCGGACTTTCCATGAGGAGACGTAACTATAATTATTTTAAAATTGATAATATAGATCATAAATCCAATCAAACTGAAAGTAACATAAGAATTTGATTAAACAACTTACAATGTTCCTTATTTCCCTCTGCTTTAAATGTATAAATTACATAGAAGCCTCCAATTACGCTCAAAAAAGTAATAGATTGCATCAATTTATGAAAATTTAAGGAAGCATCTTTTTCTTGTCTGGACTCTGCTTTTTGAAGAACAGCACTGCCTATAATACATGACGTAGATTACGTGAATACGAAATACAAATAATATTTATACTTAATAAGGAAATGGTTGATAAACTACCTTGTGTTGCCATTAAAAGAACCATAGCCATTAAAGTTGGGTGCCAAATAAAAAAGAAATAGTCTACAGAACTCGCTATATACCAAACAGTACTAGCGAAGAGAAGAGCTCCGAAGCTCACAAGTAAAGAAAATACGAAACTCATGTTGAAATTTATTGAGCCTGTAGGTGTTAGAACAGAACCGTCTGTAAAGTTTGTGGGTTCAGTAGAGGAATATTGAGGTAAAAAACTGTTATTTTCGATCAACGGTTGTGCAATATTGTCTTCAGAATTTTTTGGCGATACCATAACGAAAGGGATAAAATTTAAAAACGGGGTATATAAATTTATAAATTTAGTATGGGATATGAATGATCTACCTCATTACGATAGTCGCTTTAAACGAGGTAGTGATTTATAGTTTGTCATTCTGATTGTTGAAAACCTTTTGTAAAAGATTTTTCTGGACTTATTAATTATTATAGTTAGTATAAATTTATAGTTAGTACTTATAATTATATATAGATATTTTCTCTTTTTTTCTTTAATAAAAATGCCACTTTTTAGAAATTAAAGTATCCAAATCAGTATTGGATTTGGATAATATCAAATCCAATAATACAAAAGGTAATTGGATCTCTAATTACATTTCCAGTTATACCCAAACCTAAACATTTAAACTAATGATCAGGGAAAAAAACTAATCTAACTTTGAATATCTAATATCTGACTTTTGGCCAAATCACCCTTTTTTACTAAAACTCAAAAGCAAATTTTTTAGCATCTAGTAGTTTTAATAAACTTTTTTTATAAATTGTAAAGCTTAATAAGAGCTATAAAATAAAAACAAAAAAAGTTCATCAAAATTGGATTACTGAATACCAAGAAAATTGCATAACTCTAATTTTTTTTTAAAAAATAGTTTAATTTAGATCTAAAAGTATAACTTAACTATAGATAAAATGATTTTTCTTAAATACCAACTCTTTTTGAATAATATTCCTATATTGAAAAAACTTAAACTCTTACATTCCAATCTTTATATAACTACTTTTTACATACCACTCTTATATTATAAATTATGAATATTTGGTTTATTTATATACTGTATATGTAAAAGCTATTATTTTACTATCAAAACTGTTTAATAGCTTTTTTAATATCAAACCAGATCATTTGAATATTTTGTACAACTTCATTTCTAAGGTAATTGCCACTATATATAATTATTTTATTTAAATATTTAGAAAACAAATTTAAAAATTGTTTTTATAATAAAATTCTATGAGAAAAATCAATTAATATTTCTTAATTCTCAAAAACCTTTACTTATTTAACTAATCTTTTACAGAGTGATTACTTTTTCTTTTTTTTTCTATTATCTTTAGAATCTTAACTTATATTATATTATATAACTTCTCTGCCAATTGAATTAAAAATTCAATTACTAAAGAATTATCTTGGTATAATTACTTTTCAGATTTATAGGTTATCTAATACTAGTCTTATTGAATAACCTTTTTGCAAAATAGTATATTAATTATTTAATTAATATAATTATCTATTAATATAAATGTAATAATTTTTTATTTTATTTACTGTAATATTTTTTTAAAAAATCTATATAGTTTTATTTTTAATTAGTATTTTTTTTATTATAAACTTTTATATAAATATTAATAAAAATAAAGATATTATGCTATATTTGCTTTAAAAATGTAATTGATAACTTATTTAAAAATATCTGAAGTTTTTATTAAATGAATTGAATAAAAAAAAATAATAATAGAAAATATAAAGGAATTGTTAATTTATAATATATTAGTAAAATAAAATAATTAATGATTAAAAGTCTGAAAACTTTAATAATTTAATAGGTCAACTAAAGTTTAATTAAATAGGAAAGTTTTATGATAATTTTACTTAAAAATATAAAAACATGTTAAATATTATAATCATATATTTTTCCTAAAAACATTTTCTAATTCTTAGGAATTTTACACAATCTTAAATTAAATTTTTTACTCTTGAGAATCACTTTTTTTGAAATGAAAACTGTGGCTTGTACGTAAAAATTTAATAAATAGAATCATATGTCAAATAATTTTTTTATTTTATATGCTTTAAATTATCAATAATAATAATTCAATTATATCAATGACTATTATTATTATTTATAGATTTCATAGTTTTTTTTATAAAAAGAAAATACTACCAATATTCACTTTTTTTCAATATTCAATATGATGCTTTTAATTTGAAAATAATAAGCTACAGTTTTCATTTCAAAAAGAGTGATTTTCAGAAGTAATTTAGGATTGTGTTAAATTTCTAAGAAGTAGGAATTTTTTTTAGGAAAAATACATGATTATTTAAATATTCAGTTAAAAAATATAAATTTTATTAAAAATTTAAAATAATATAAATAATACTTTATTTATATAATTTAAATCTAACTTCCTTTCAACTAAGTAAAATTTTATACTGTTATAATAAAATTAACAAAAAAAATAAAATAAAATTCATCAGAAAACTTATTTTTTTTTATTTTAATAAACTTTGTATTATTTATTTTAACAAACTTTTTTAAAAAACTTTTTTTTTTACAATACTTTAAAAAGTAATAAAAAAAAATTTATTTTTCAAAGTATTATAAGAAAAATTATTTCTTTTTTAAACTATTATAAAGATACTAAAGAAAAAAATTAATCAATATTTTTTAGTGTTTTTATTTAATAAGCTTTGAACTTTAAAAGTATTTAAATTTTTTTTTAAAAAAATAGAGTTTCAATCTAAGAATCGATAGATGAAATATTTTGGCAATTTGCATGTGGATTTAATTAATAAAGGTAATGATTTTTTTTTTAAATACATTAAGACCATATTTCAATACATAATATAGTAAATTTAAGAGTATTGTTAATAATAAAAAAAAGAGAAAAATTTGATTTGAATTGAATTTTTTATCTAATCAGATAAATTTTTGATCTGAGTTGAATTTCTTTTCCATTTTATAATTGAATTAGATTTTAATTTTATTATATTATACATTAGAGTAGAATCTGAAGATCTCAAAAAAATTCTTGACTTTAATTAATTAAATCTATGTATAATTATTAAAATGTGTCCATTTATCGATCCTCAAATTGGAATTCTAAAAAAAAGGAGTTTTTTTTAAAATTGACAAAATTCATCTAATGGTTAGCACATAATCTACAATATGCAATGATATTAAATTAAATTAAAAGTTTTGAAATTCTGGACTTTTTATTTCTATCTTCTTTTAGACATTTTGAAAATAAACTTTAAAATTTTTATTTTATTTTTATTTATTCTTTTTTTTTAAGTTTTAAAAGCTAAAAAATAACTTCAGGCTTATTTTATATTTTTATTTAACGAATAGTATTAATATTCATTTTTTTTTTTTTTGATACTTTTTAAAAGTGCTCTCTATATATATGTGTAAGGTGAACCAAGTATTAATGTTCATTTTTTTATTTTTCTTAAATTTTAAATACTGAAGAATGATTTTAAACTTTTATTTTAAAAGTAAAAATCTTTAGATTTTTTTTTATAATTTTTTTATACTTTAGTTAATGCATAATCTTAACATTTATTTTTATGTTTTAAACGTTAAAAAATAGCTTTAGACCAATTTTCAAAGGTAAAACCTTCAAATTTATTTTTTTTTATATTTAGTAATAAATATTACTAACATTTATTTTTATTATTTTTAAATCTTAAATGTTAAAGAATAATTTTGGACTTATTTTCAAAAGTAAAATCTTTGATTTTTTTTTAATTTATATTTTAATTTTAATGAATATCACTAACATTTGTTTTTATTATTTTTAGATTTTAGATATTAAAAAACAACTTTAGATTCTTATTTTAAAGATAAATCTTTGAATTTTATTTTTTATATTTATATTTAGTGAACGTTATTGAATATTTATTATTTATTTTTTTTAGATCCAGAATATTAAAGATATGTTTTAACTTTTAAATCCATTTAAAAGTAAAATTTTCAAAATTATTTTTTTTTAATTAATTTATTGATAAATATTAATTAACATTTATATCTTTTTTTTTTTTAAGTAAAGAAATTAATATTTCTTTGAATTTTTTTTAAATTCTAAAACAAAAAAAACATTTTATATAATATTATTATATTTAGTAATTAGGATTCTTAAATAATACTACAATTTACAATAAACTTTAAATACCAAAGTTAAAGATGTAGTATGTAATTGATAATTACTACCTTGTGTTGTAATAGTAAGGGTTGCAATCTATTACTACTTTTAAAGTTAAAGTATTATAATATTACAACACTTATGATTATTTAAAAATTTTTTTTTTGAAAATAAAAATTACGAAAATAAGTTTTTATAAAATAAATATCATCATAAAAAGAAATGATTAATATATTATAATATATATTTATATAATTGAAAATATTAAATTATAATACTATATAATAATTACAATACTAGTAGTAATTAATTATAATACTATATAATAATTATAATATTGTGTTGTAATTATAACAAAAGTATTGTATGTATGTTGTAATAGTTGCAATCTTACAACTTTCTAAAAATAATTACATATTACATCTTTAACCAAAGTAAAAATATATTTTATGTCATAATTCTATCAATATTACAGTTAAAAATGCAATTTTACTATCATTAAAATAAAACTCAGAAATATATATGTTATGCGTCAGATATCAATTTACGTTAGATAATAACTGCATATTTTAAAGAAGGAAATTTCTACCAATATAAATTTGAGTATATTGAAATTTTAGCATTATATATTTAAAAATGTGATAAACTAATTAATTTACTTAGTCAATAAAAGCACATTAAGACTGAAAATTTTATGTTTAATTATAGCTAAAATTTTAAATACTATTATTTATAATATATAATTCAGTATTAACATAAAAAATTATCTAATATCTAATATAATTGTTAATAAAAATCGATAAAACAATTATATATAAATTTATGAATAATAAAATTTTATATATAATAAATCCTTAATTTTTTTCAATAATTTCTATTCAAAATTTATTAACTTCAATCTCTATCTGCTATTAACAGTGTTATTCAAAGTTTGTTAGAATTACAGATAAGAAAAGATATTAATGGTCAGTATAAAAAAAGTTAATAGTTATTTTATATTATGAATAAAATTATAGTAAATAGTCAATAGCAGAAAAATTTAAAATTAAGTTTATTAAATTAAAATAATTTTATAATTAATTTCAATAATAAAAAACTATTTTTAAAATAATTCCTTATATTTAAAAATTTAATAAAAGTAATATCTTAAACTTGAAGCTAAAGTAGAATCCGCTTACTATTAAGGTAAGTTACTTTATAATATAAAGTGAGATTTACATATAAAACTTATTAAAAATCCTATAAAAGGAAATTTTATGTTACATTATTATTCTACTGGTAATATATTTTAGTAATAAAGTAAAATCCTGCTGAAGTACTGAATTTATAAAGTGATTTAAAGTAACTCAAAAGCAATTAAAAATAATAATATATTATATAATTTAAACAAAGGCTTAATTTTTAATTAATAGTTTCATATCAATTTTCCAAAGGCTTTCAAATAATTAAATTAAATAATAGAGTAATTTTTTTATTTTATATTTTTTATTATAGAAGAGAATATTAGTACCTATTATCTTTAATTACTAATATGGATAAAATTTTAATGGCATTTAATTTGTAATAATTTTTTACAGAAAGTTATGATAAATATTAATGATTTTTACAGTACAGTTATGAAAATCACAATATTTATATAATATGTGAAATAACTCTTTTATCTTATAAAGACTAATGTCTATTGTCTAGTAATAGAAAAGAATGAAAGGTATAAATAAACTATAAAAATACATAAGCATAAAAAATATCATCAGATAATACAATAATTAAGCAATATAGTACCAAAACTATTTTTATTTTATTAATAAATTATGAATATATTAATTTATTATTTTTAAATTATACAGAAGAATTACCATTACTAATTATTTTTAAACTTGTAAAAAGAGTTTTCTAATAGAGTAATTATTTGTGCTAATAAAAAAAAATGGATGAATGAAAAAAAATAGTTTGATAGATAGAAAATGTTTGGATACAATATACAAGATGAAATAATAACCCAAAATCTCTCTTTTAATATTAGATTTTTTTACTGCATATAATAAAACTGAAAGATTTTATGAAAAGAAAACAAATATAACTGTAATTTCAGAAGGATTAACCTTTCATTTGCAACCTTTTGGCATATTATTAAACAAATCTTTTAAAGTTAAAGTAATTATATTTATTATTATTAAAACATTTGAATGTAGATTTTTTGATATATTAATAAAAATTGTAGTATTAAAATAATAAAATAGGTATAACATTTTTATAATAATTGGATAAGCTATTAAGGATTATATTCCATCTGGAAAAATTAAAAGGCCTTTTACTCTTTTATTGCAAGTTGAATAAAAGAAAGTACTGTCTCTTTGGTCCTTATTTATTATATCTATTATTTCTTAGTAAAATATAAAAGCAATTAAAAAACGTATGGATATATAACAAAAATTGGGATCCTGATATAATTAGATATTTGTTTAAATATTACAGCATCTCAAATGCTACTGATAGAACAGAAGACAATTTAATTTTTGATTTTAATAAAATAAAGAGTATTAATAATTCAAAGATAATGATGAAAAGTTAAATATATTACAAGATTGGAATTAATAATAAAGAATAAATAAATGAAATAACAAATAATAACATACATACTTTAAACTCAGGTTATTATATAAAATGCTTCTAATTGTTAAATATATTATAATAAAAAAGCAATGTGAAAAGTGTAAAAATATAAAGTTATAAAAGGAAAAGTTACCATTTTAAGCTTTTCATGTTTTATTATAGCAAAAAAAATACACATGTTACATAAAATCTTGTGGTTTAATATGATATACATGTACCCCGGGTCTTATACAAAAACTTTTATATATTGTACCCGGATTTTAAGTTAGAAGAAAATGTTTTTAGCTAGTAAAATACCCGGGTATTATGACATAGAGGTACTAACTTATGATATTGATATTTATGCTTAATATTACTACTAAAGAAAGTTTTTAATAAAAGTTTAAAATAATTTTTTTAAACACTTTTTCCTTTTTTTATTAAATTAAAGAATTAAATATTTAATAAAAAATTAAGAGATTTAAATCCTAAATAATATTTTTTTATTAATTAATAAAAAATATTTACTTGTTTAATTTTGGTCAGGTTTGTTATTAGGTTTAAAAAAAATTTCTAGAAGTTCTTTTAATTTATCTTTATCAAGTAAAAAATGCATCATTATGATGTTATTATTTATCATTGGATTGATTATATACGCCGCAGGAAACGGCGTCACATGAAAAAAAAAGTCCTAACAATAATATGTGGCTTTATCAACATGAATCATACATTATTAAAAAAAAGATTGCATTGGCGAAATATAAAAAAAATTCTGCCAATGGCAAATTCCTCTCCCGCTTCCAGGCGTAAACTATTGTGACGAAATTTAAAAAAAATTCTGCAATAGCAAAATCCTCTCACGCTAAACCATTGCGACGAAATTTAAAAAAAATTCTGCCAATGGCAAAAGCATCTCACGCTTCCAGGCGTAAAAGATGGCATAACTATTGTGACGAAAACTAATTCTGCTAGTGGCAAAATCTTCTCACGCTTTCAGGCGTAAAATCTCATGTAAAACATTCGAATATAAATAAGACCTACACTTTTCTCTTTTTCTGAAAAAAAAAAATCCCAAATAAAAAAAAAGCATAATGTCTACAAAAGGAGATCAAATTAACTGTCAATGTGGAGATAGTTGTCAATGTACAGGTGTTTGTACCTGCGGTAAATCTTCTACTACTACCACTAAAGCTACCGAAACAAAAGACTCCAAGAGTGGCGAAACTCATAAAGCATGTGGAAATAAGTATGTGTTAGAAAAACTTTTTTGATTTCATCGCAAAAAATTAATATACTATCTAAAATTCTTGTAGATCTTGTACTTGCAGCGAATGCAAGTGTTCTCCAGGAGCATGTAACTGCGGTTCGAAATGATTTAAATGATTTCATCAAATATCCTATGATGCATCTGTTATGACATCTGTTACGTCGCATGAAAATATCATACCCTTATTTAGTATATTTTAGTATTAGTATTATTTATTTTTTTTTTTTCAATTGATGTATTAACTCTATCATCGAATTCTTAACATTTATTTTTCAATAAAACCATTTGACAAGTAAATGGTGTGGTCATAATTTTTGGCGTAAATAAGAATTGAATAAAAAATAATCGTATGATTTACAAAAAATAAAATTGGCCTTATATGGCAATGGTGTGATGTTATTCTTTGAAAGTGGGCTGATTACCTTAACGATAAATTTACGGCCAAAGTTAGTGGTGTGAAGATTTTTAATTTCTGTTATAAATATCGACCTTCCAACCAAGAGTTTCCAAAGGAAAAGTTATAAAACCTGAATAACGGAAAAAACCCAGATTCCGTAATATAATCATTTTCCGCTTAATTACTCGTCTTGCAAATCACAAATATATATATATAATTCGTAAATTCGTATACGTGTAATATACGCATATTAATAAATTCAATAAATTACAAAATTACAGTTATCACACTATCATAAAAAATGATTACTGGCACACGAGGCGTACGTTTCTTCTTACGTTCAATACCGGTAGAGGTTTACCCACTAGGAGCGGTCCTCACATTCGCAGTATGTTACGGAATCGGTCAAACCGCCTATAAATTACAAAATGATCGCAATCTTCGTAGATATCCATCATATTATGGCGGTCCAAGAATATATTAAATTCATTCTTTCTTTCTTACGTTAAAACTTTAGAATTATATTTCACGTCATTGTACATCATAATTATAAATCATGTGACATATATATCCTGTATTTTGTATATCTGATATCTTTCTTTCACTCAATAAAATTACTTATTTAATATATTTATTTGTAAAACAAGAAATTTTTTTTCTCGTGTATAATTTTCGCGTGTGCTTATCATTAAGGATCCCGATATATTAAGATTTTGGGGAACATGACTTAATTGATATCATTACGAGTACTGTAAGTAGAAAATTCAATTACAAACTCTATCTATGCATCCAGGGACTGATTCCTTATCATTTCCATAAAAATTGAATCATGGCTCACACGGTTATCATGACAAAAATTTGTAACTGAATTTAGTTATGATATGATGATTTAAATAAATATCTCGTGGTTATTTATTTATAAATAAATAATAATACAAAGAATACAAAAATACAAAAATACAAAAATAGAAACTAAAAAGTAACTAATACTAATACTCTTGAACGAAGATAAAACAAACGAAAAGCTTATACAACCATCACTATATGAGATTTTTTATTTGATGAGGAAGGATTTAAATATCTCCAATCGACACGATGAAGAATCTGAGGAATTATTTGCGGCATTTCATTGCCCTCTTTTATTCGTTGACTATTATAATGTGCGGCAATTCCAAAACTTATTAATGCAGCACAGCTAGTCATTATAATCCCTAGTGGAAATAAAAATCTATCAGTCGTTAATTTCATTACTTCATTACATTCAAACATTCAAACGATTATATGAATTATAAAAGACCTCTTGGCGGTGTTGAATTTATGGTAGCAAAATTTAGCATGTTTAATTTCTTTTTTTTTTAGACGATAAATTTACTGATGGCCTGATGGGCATGCGAATTGAGGTCTTTATATATGTGTGAAATAATAGATAAAAATGATTTTGTCTTTATCGACAGAAAATTCTCTAGATCTACATTTTCACTAGTCACGCCACAATTTTAGTGTGTAATCTGACGTGATGTATTATCGGATGATTTGAGTTGCATGTGTTGCATGTTTTAATAATTTATTATTTGCTATTAGAATAAAAAAATTTTTTTTTTTATAATTAAATACTATTTAATTATATAAAATCAGAGAATAATAATTTCTGAAAATCTAATTTAATAAAAAATACATTACACCATCTTTATTCTTCCAACATTTTCTAATAATTGTTCTATTTTTTTTTTTTTTTTTTTTTTTAAATAAAATAAAAAGAATTCAGTATATACACCACAATTGTGCAATAATTAAATATTTTGTGATTACTGTTCAGTCTCCATTTTTGTCTCGGTCTCTTCTTCTGTGACTAACAATTTCTTGAGAGGAGTTGCTTCCTGAATATAGAGTATAAAAAAAAAGTCAAAAAAAAAGTTATTTTTTCATATACGAGTAACTAATTCTTTTTCTTTACCTTTAAAAAAGTCTCAAATTCTTTGTTAATTTGTTCAATCTTCGTTTTCTTGGCCAGTATACTATCTCCTAGTTCCATCTTTCTTTTTAATTTATTATGTACAACTTCTTGTAATCTAAAATTATCAATTAACGTATATTTTAATTATTTTCCGTTTATTTATTTATTATAATTTATTTTTCCTACCTTAATCGTTCTTCTTTTTCATAATTCAATCGTTGAAGCATCCTATGATGATGTTGTTGTCTTTCCGTAGTTCCTTCAGGTAATTGTGTTTTTAACTCCTCAGGTGCATTTGCTAAAAATTCCTCTTCCGATAGGAGGGGAACTTTTTGATAAATGGATCTAAATGAACGACACTTGCGAATTTCTCTTTGAAGATAATTTTTCATATAATTTAGATCTTGTAATTGTAAATGAATTCGATCCATAGCTAATTTTGCTTCCTGTGTTGCTAACTTTCCCGCATTCTTTTCCAAGTTAGATTTACGATTAAGTAATCTAAGTTGTATAAATGAATTAGCAAGTTGCGATTTCATTCCTTCTGCTGATGGATCTGTTAAAAACTTTGTTTTTTTTTTTTCATATAATATTATAATATTTAATAAAATGATTCATAAAATAAAAATAAAATAAAAATTAATTATTATTTAATATTCTTACATTTAAATCTTTTTCCGCTTTTTGCAGTATTTCTGTTGTTAATTGTTTAATCAAAACACATTTGGAAGTAAGGTCGACAAGGTGTGGTAATGTTGGAGTTACATTTTGAATTTTTGACTCGATACTATTGCCCTGTTCATCTTGTTGTACCATCTTGGAAATCGCACTAGGTTTAGTGTAAATTAACGAACTGATTTCTGACCCTATTTTGCTAAACTGGCAATTCAATCACGTTTTACCTAAACGCGATTGTAAAATTACTAAAGAATTATATGTAAAACTATCTTAGCGACTTGAAAACTTTACTTGATATAAACTTCAATAAATTCATTTTACCTTTATAAAGGTGTTTTATCGGATCAAAGAAAAAAAAAGAGAGAGAGAAGAAAAACGGTAAAGTTTATCTGTGATTTTAACGTAATTTCGTTTTCAATAACATTCATTCCGTTCAGTGCAAAAAAAAACAAAAAAAAACATATAAATAAGCAAATTTACAAGCTTTGATTAGTTGGATATTATACCGGTTACTTGAAAACGGAAAACTCTCAGGTAAAGAGAATACTTAAATTTATTAACTAATAAGGAGTTTTTATATTAATAATAAAAATTTTGACATGAAAATTAAAATAAAACTAAATCTATCCATGACCAATAAAAATTACTTTGGAGCATATCCATGAGGATACGCTTGATGATATTTCCATGCGGAAGCAACAATATCTTCAACATTCTTATATTTTCTTGTCCATCCAAGTATTTCTTCAGCTCGCTTCGAGCCAGCAATTAATACAGCCGGATCACCAGGTCTACGACCTTCAACTACGGCAGGAATTGGATGTCCTGTAACTTTTCTAGCAGCTTCAATTACTTCTTTAACAGAATATCCTTCACCTGAACCTAAATTAAATTTTTGAGATTTATTTTCTTTCACAAGATATTCGAGAGCTTTAATATGCGCATGAGCTAAATCTGTGACATGTATATAATCTCTAATACAAGTTCCATCTCTAGTATCATAATCGTTCCCATAAATCTTAATTTGAGGTCTACGTCCAAGAGCCACTTGAAGTATGAGAGGAATCAAATGAGTTTCTGGGTTGTGATCTTCACCGATTTCACCACTTTCATGAGCTCCACAAGCGTTAAAATATCGAAGACAAACATATCTAATATCAAAAGCATTCTCACACCAACCAAGAATTTTTTCTACGGTAAGTTTACTATCACCGTAAGGATTAATCGGAACAGATTTAGCATCATCTGCTATAGGAGTCGTTTCAGGATTACCAAAGATAGCAGCGGTAGAAGAAAAGATAAAATATTTTACTTTATATTTTTGCATAGTTTGCAATAAATAAATAGTTCCAGTGACATTATTTTCGTAATATTTTAAAGGATCGATAACACTTTCTCCAACTTCAATAGAAGCACAGAAGTGCATCACAGCTCCAGGTTTATGTTTTTCGAAGACAGCTTCAATTGACTTTTTATCACAAATATCCGCTTCTTCAAAGGTTACGCCTTTAGGGATGGATTCTACATGACCTTTAGAAAGATTATCAACAATAACAATCTCATAACCAGATAAAGAGGTAAATTCACGAACAATATGAGAACCAATATAACCAGCTCCACCACAAATGAGGACCTTCATTGTTTTTAAATTAACTTTTGTTTGATAAAAAAATCATAACTTGATTAATAATTTTTATTGAATAAAACGAAATAACCTTTATTACGCGTAAAATATAAAAACATACCTTTTTTTAAAAAAATAAAAAATTTGAATAAAGATATAAAAAAATATTTAATCAAAGAATTTATATAATCGTTCTTGTATTTACTTGGAACATTAAATTTTTTTTAAAAAAAATTTATTTGATTAAATTAATTCGGGAGAAAACTTTTGTTGAGTCTTCGGGTTATCCATGAGAATAAATATATAGATGTTGTGTAATCAAAACGTAATGCAATGCAGTATCCCACGTTGATGTTTGTTTGATTTTACTCGGTCTAAATTTAGTATCATTATCACATGTCACAACAAATCATTGCTGGTGATTATTAAAGTTTTTTTTTCCCTTGTTCTGATAACGCGAAAAAGAAAACTTTTCGGGAAGTTTCAAAAATGAAAAAATCAAAGCAAGCATCCAAGGCTCGAGATCATTTGGAGATACTCCAAACAAGGGTTGTGGTAGAACGTGACCATGTTTCTAGTGTAAATATAGATTTGATTAATTTGAATAATAAAATTCATATATTTTTTTTTAAATAAACTAATTTTTTCTTAATTCATTTAAGATATCTTCTAGTGACTTTCCCTTTCATACTAGTAATCGATATCCCGATCATGATTTAGTAGAAAGATTAAGAAATGTATACTAAATGCTTCAGTAATTTTTTTTTCTCTTTTTTTTTTCTTTTGATAACCAAAGTCTGTCAACTTCTAATTTGAATTAGTTCGGAACTATACATTTATAATTTTATTTTTATTTACTTCAAATTCATTATTAGAAAATAATAATTGCTATTGAAAAAAAATCTCAATATGATATGGAATTTGATATAATTGGAGTTGATGCGTCAATAGCGAACGCGTTGAGAAGAATTATGATCGCGGAGGTACGTTTTGTTTTATCAATTTTAGAAATTGATATTATATTAACAAAATCTGCTTTAAAAATTTAGGTCCCTACTATGGCAATCGAAAAGGTGTTTATTTATGATAATACATCAATAGTACAGGATGAAGTCTTGGCACATCGGTTGGGTTTGATTCCAATCAAAGCTGATCCTGACGAATTTGACTTTAAACAATGTAATTTATCACGCATCTCTTATTTTTAATTATAACTTATTCACGATTCGTAAATTTTCAATTTACAGCAACTGAGCATCCCACAGATCAAAATACAATTGTTTTCAAACTGAAACAAGAATGTAAGCGCAATCCTAAAGCTTCAGCAGATGAGGCAGAGTATATAAATCACAATGGTATTTATTATTTATTACTTGACAATACAGAATTATTTCATATTATTGACGCGGTTTTTTCATAGTTTATTCCGCAGCTCTTATATGGGAACCTAAGGGTGATCAGGCTGAAAGGTTCAAAGATTCTCCCATTAGACCTGTTCATGATGATATTCTTATAGCACAAATGAGACCGGGTCAAAAGATAGAATTGGAAGCACATTGTGAAAAAGGATGTGGCAAAGAACATGCAAAATGGTCTCCAGCTGGTAAATATTTACTTCAGATTCTAAGTATATTTATGGATTAAATGATAATCATTTTTCATCAATCATTCAGCAACCGCATCGTACCGGTTAATGCCAGATATAATATTAAAGGAGGAAATTACTGGAGACCTGGCAGATAAATTTGCTTCTTGTTTTGCCCCGGGTGTCGTTGAGGTTGAGAATAAAACGGGTAAATATTCCATACATTCTTAAATTTAACATTTACATTCTAAGATTAAACAAAACTTTTTGTTTTTTTTTATCAGTTGATGGGGAATCAAAAAAGGTTGCAAAAGTTGTAAATCCACGACTTGACACGGTCAGTCGAGAAGTATTACGGCACAAGGAATTTGAAGACAAAGTGCAACTAACACGGATACGGGATCACTTCATTTGTAAAGATTTTTCCTATTTATTTGATTTTTTAAAATTTTACATTAATTTTCTATTATTAATAATTGTTAACATTTATAGTCAGAGTTGAATCTACGGGCATTCTAGAATCGGAAAAAATTGTTTTTGATTCCTTACAAATTTTATCATCTAAATGTACGATGCTTTTAAAAGCATTAGATATAAAATTAAAAGAGAAGGAAGAAACTGAAACAAGTCAAAACAATGAAAATGCGATGGAATTAGATACATAATGATCAATTTTTATATCCATTTAATTGAAGACTTAGTTGTCTGAAATCCTTCTGTTATGGTATCTTTTTGTTTATCTAGTTCTGATTTATTGTGTAATTCTATAGGTATATATTTAATATTTCAATTAATTAAACTTTTCAATCGCGTAAAAAATAATAATAATAATAATAATAAAATTAAAAAATTACCATCATCTGTATGTTTCGTACGTAATAAATTATTATTTATTTTTTCACCATTTTCTAAAATGTCAATCGTTTCTTCAAGCTTTGAAATCTTTAATTGCATTTTTTCTTTATATTCAATATGATTCATTTTAGACCATTTTAAATGTAATAACATTGAACCGAATGTAACCCAAATAAAATATGAATAAATATAAGGAGAATATTTTTTTAATGTCGATTCTTCATTAGGAGTATTTGAGGAAGATAAATACATGTCAGAAGAATAAGGTCTTTTTACAAGAAAAGTAGGTTTGAAAGAATTAATTCTGGATGAAAATATGGGATAAGTAGAAGTATATTTTGGTGAAATGTTTAATAATTTAATAAATAAACGTGAAGACATATTATATTAGTGAAATATGAAGATTTGAAAAAAAAAAAAATATTTCAAATATTTCCTTTTTATTAATTCAATCAATCTTGTGTAACAAAAAAAATTTTAATCGGACACGTGATTGACCGCGTCTTAACAGGTAATATACGATATTGAATTTTGTATTTTGAATTCCGAACATCAATTGAATATCCAACCAATTTAAAGTTTAAATCCAGAATGTAATGCAGCAATTCCAAAAGTTAAATCTTCCCATCCATCACCTACAATGGTAAATCCCGCGTTCATTATCATTTCCGCAAATTGCTCTTGTGAAGGAAATTGACGAATGCTTTCTACTAAATATTGATAAGAATCTTTATCCGAAGCAATTATTTGACCAATTAACGGAATTATCTGAAAGGAATATAAATTATATATCCTAAATACGCCGCGATATAATTAGTTCTTTCTTTCGATTAATGAAAATTATTTTTATTAAAAGATAGATTTAACTTACGATGAGACTAAAGGGTTTCGGACCTTACCGAATTCCAAACACATAAATCTTCCACCAGGTTTTAAAACTCTAAAAGCTTCGTGTAATACACGGTCTATATGAGTGCAATTACGAATACCGAATGCTATTGTATATACATCATACGAATTTGATGGAATTGATGAAAGATCTTCCGCGTTTCCTACTTCGAATGTTACTTGCGATGCTATAAATTGAAGGAAATAAAACTTTAAATTCAAAAATAGATACATACATAGGAATTAAAAAAAAATACCTACAATTATGATATGGAGTTTTTAAAAATCGTTGTTTACCAACTTCTAGCATTTTAGGATTAATATCCAATAACGTAACTTTTGCGCTAGTATCTCCATGAATTTCTTTACAATAATTAAGAAATCCCATTGCGATATCACCTGATAGAGAGATTAATCGATTAGTCTATGAAGAATCAATTAACCGATATTAAGTATTTAGGTAAAATTATCAAGGTAAATAAGTAATAATTATCTACCTGTTCCTCCAGCAACATCCAATAGTTTTGTACCAGGTCCCGGAGCCATAGTTCTGATAGTATGATCTTTCCATAATCTATGAACTCCTAAACTCATTGCATCATTCATTACATCATATTTTGTTGCAACATTTTCAAAAACTTTTCCAACTATTAATGATGATTATTTGATATAAGAAAAAGATTATTTGAAAAATTCATAACAAACATATTAAATTTCTCTTTAAAAAAAGGTTGAATTTTTTATTCACCCAAAGTTTCTTTCATATTCTCTGGAACACTTTTGAAACCAAAGTGAGTCCTGGGTTCTTGACTAGTTTCATGTTGTTCTGAAAAATTTGCAGTTGTGTTAGCTTGTTGAAGCCTTAAATATGTCGAAAAGTGACTTTGTAAACTTTTATTATATATATAGTTAGTTTTAGTCGTTATTTGAAAGGCGCGTTTTAAGTGAATGCGTGAAGAAAACATTTAAAAAAAAAAGAACAAAAAAATTTTTTTTTTTTTGGTGGCATTTACTGTATGTTGTTGATGATGTCGAATTTTTGGATCGATCATCTTTAGATCAACAATATTTTTAATCGAACTAATCGAACTTTTTTTTTTATTAAAAATAAATTAAATAAAATCATAATTTTCAATTATATAATAAACAGATTAAAAAGATAATACGGTACTGTCTATTTTTGATCAATTTTATCATAATTTAGTAAATTGATTTAAAGAATCATTTTTTTTTGTTATACATTAATACATACAGTATACTGTTAAATTATATAAAATTGTGTAAATGTTGTAAATGTGTAAAATGTGTTAAATTGGCTTGCACTACATTCTTGCATTAGATAATGATTGACTTATAATAGATGTTTGAAAAACGCGTCTTTTTTTTAATGCAAATTCTACTATAACAAATATAATATAATATATTTTTTTTACACGTGAGAGTAAAAATATCATGTGATCAAGAAAAAAATTACGTAAAAAATTAAAAATAATTTGTTGCCCCATATAAGGCTCGAACTTATGACCTTCGCGTAACTGAATCTGATATTCAGATCCTATTAGCACGACGCTCTAACCAACTGAGCTAATAGGGCTTTGATATTGATCATCGAAAAAAATTTTTAATATTTAAAAATTCAGAGAATTTAAAAATTCAGAGACGTGTAAAGAATGTAAAGATAATGTAGATAATGTAGATAATGTAGATAATGTAGAATGTAGATGAGCAAATGACACGTTAAAAAATCATTTCATTAAAAAAAACATTTCGTTAAAAAAAACATTTTCGTTCAAAAAGAAAAAAAAAAGATAAAATAAAATGTGAAGATAAAAACAAAGACAAAGATAAAAATAAAAAAGATAAAAATAAAAATAATAAAAATAATGGAAATAATGGTAATAATGGTAAAAATAATGGTAAAAAATAAAAATAAAGACAAAAGGTAAAATAATAAAAATAAATAAAATAAAATAAAAAATAAATATAGAAATAAAAATAAAATGAATGAAATATGATGAATAAGGTATCTAATATAATGAATGAATGAAATATGATGAATGAGGTATCTAATATAATGAATGAAATATAATAATGAATGAAATATAATGAATGAAATATATAATGAAATGAAATATATAATGTATATAATGATACAATGAAATAAAATATAATGATAAAAATAAAATAAAATAAAATAAAATAAAAAAATCTCTTTATTATAAATTTCTTTATATAAATCTCTTTATTGTAAATTTCTTTATATAAACCTCTTATTGTAAATTTCTTTATATAAATCTCTTTATTATAAATTTTTCATTATTTTTCTTTATTATAAATTTCTTTATTTCTTTCTCCCCGGTACCGGTATGAAATTTTTACATACTGATATTACCCGATACAATTCACACGAATCACATAAATAATCGCGTGATAAAATAATGAAAAAATTAGGGTCAATGAGATATATTTAGTTAAAAAATTACGTAATATTTAATATGTTGATACAAATCGTTATTGTTTCTTTACAGAATAACATGTTTTATTATGCACTAATATAAAATTAGTAAATTCAAGCCAAAAAATCATAACCTAATTAACCTAATTGACAATAATTCCCGCCCAGAAAAAAAAAAAAAAAATGTGATACGAGTAATTTTAAATAAATTATCATGTGAAAAAAAAGAAAAATTCTTTCACATGTGGAATTTCCTAAAAGAAAACTAGCCCAAAAGAAAAATCAAGTTTAATTGTAAATGACTTGTTGGTAACTTAAGTTTATTATATATTCTTGTTTATCCGTCTCATTTAAAAATCCCAAATTCATAATTTAAAATAAAAAAAAAAAATTCCAAATACATTAAAACCCAAAAAGGGACTTTTTCAAAGAGAATGACCGTATGACACAATCACATAAATAA